CACCGTGATCGAATTGACGCGTTCTTTCTTTTTCCTGCTAATAAATCTGCAAGATAAGAGCACGAAATACGAGGCAATCGACTCGTTTGTGTAAAATTTTGTAAGCAAAACGAATAATATTTGGGGAACAAGCAACAGAGAATGTTTTATAATTTTTAAGTATTTTGGCGGCGGCGGTTCAACGTTTCTTATGATATGCGCGATCACCGCGTTGCGAGAACGATCGCGAAGAAATTTAAAAATAAAACGATACAATTTAACGTAAATATTCTGTGAAATAGAGGTTTTGAGGAATAAAAAGAGGCATACATACGAATAAATTTGAAACATTTACGACGAATTACGTGAACGAGCGAATTACGTGCCTGTTCTTTAACGAAAAACTGAATTGTATTCGTAAACGCACATTTGGAACTCATTAATTCGCACTCCCGACGTTCATACGCATTTTGGAGCAATTAGCTCGCTCCCTCGTCGCGATCGTTCGCGATCGCGACAAGCAAAATGAGAACGCCAAACGCGCGATCATTCTCTGTAATTACTCAATAGATTATTAATTCCCGTGCTTAATGAGAGATTCGAGCTATTCACCGAAGCGTCTTTCCACGCGATTCACTCATTCGAAGTAGAAATCGAAACGGAGGCAGGAGACGCGAATTCCGAGGTTATCGTCTCGCGACACGCGGGACAACGATTCTACTAAGATTCGGATGTATCGCACTTCGAATCATTTATTTCCCATGCACAACAATTCACTCACCGATCACGCCACATTGCAGGAGACCCGTCAAATCACAGCCGAGAGGGGCGGGAGGGTGATACCGGCGCGGCGTCCACCGGCCGGCGTCCAGCACGGCATTTGGTCGGCGTTTATTCGGTTTATCTCGGCCATTCCACTCGTTGCAGTCGACACGAGAAGAAACAGAATAATTCGGCGTACATTCAGCTTGCAACACACACATTCTGTAACCGTTAGAGGATTTCTTTTCGTTCACGAGAAAGATATTATTTACATGAGCGACAACGTCTCGCGTGTACGCTCGGCACTCGGCAAACTTCGCGCGGGGACTGCGGGGAGAGAAGAGCAGACATACGATCTGCTGTTTCCTTCTCTCTAGAGGCCACGCATTACGCATTTCGGGTGGCCTCTCATGTCTCGCCGAGTGCCGACGATGCGCTATGTTACATTTATGTTTATATTTACGAGTTTTAATTGTTATATTTATAAATATTGCAATTATATTTACAAAAAAATTGCAAATTAATAAATAAATTTTATTAAACATAAAATCGCGTATGATCATGTAGGTACTTCCGTAGTTTTTGTATCGTTAAAATTAAACATAAAATTAATTAATTAAATAAATATTTAGAAACATAAAAACTAAAATTTGTAAATGTAATGTTTAGAAATTCCCGTTCTGGCCAATATGCTTTTTCATCTAGAAAAAAAATCATATTAAAAACATTAACTTTGGCATAATATTTAAATTTAATATTTAAATGCATAATAATAATAGTAAAATATTAACTATCAAGAAAAAAAGATAGTTTATAGTGTTCTTTTTACTCTTATTAAATTTGCCAAATCACGAGCACCAAAATAGGGATATTGGATTAAAATAAAAACAATTTATTATACAAATAATGCACACGGTTAATGTTTCGACTATAGTTAGTCTTCTTCGGAACGGATTATTACGAAAGAAGAAGATAAATATCAAGAAACGGGATAATTAATGTTCATTTAACATACTAAAACATTAAACAATCACCTAACAATATAAACAAAATAAACAATAATCTAATTGAATCATAAATATAAAAACGCCGGAATAATCGATTGAAACCATGGAAAAATAAATTTATATTTATATTGAGAAGTGGTAAAATCTCTTCCATCAGGAAGAGAATGTAAAAAATTATTACGGGGGTATTTTGATTTAAAAGATCTTTAAAATATATATTTTGCAGGAATTTTTTATAGGGAAACGAAGAAAGTGAATAACGTTAAACTTTGCATGTTCACTTCACCTTATTTTAAAATTTTATTTTTATTTTTTAAATAACAAAAATGCTTTTCCTTTCTATTATATTATAGGTATTCTGGTCACTAGAAGGTATAAATGACAGACGGTGTAAATAATTCTAGCTGTTCTATAGGTATCTGAAACGCAAAAAGCTAAAATTTTCTTATTCAGAAGTATATGTGGCTATCGTCTGAACTAAAACTAAACTAATATTTCCATTCTAGGCAGCCTTTTTATCAAAAATATTATTAATCAATATTAAATAAACAATTTACGGTCTGAGCTTGGATTTTATAGTAGCCTAATAATATTTTTTATATACTATATTTACATATTTTTTTCAACATTAAGGGGGAAAATACACCTAGAAACGAAAAAAAAAGGTAATTTTCGGGAATTTTTTTCAGGGGAACTATTGGAATTGTCGGGTCAAGGTTTTTTGTAGTTAAAAATACACACTTTCAAGAATGTTTAAAATTTTTTTTATTAAAAAATGTTGCAAATTCACGGAGTACTGGAGTCGTCTACGGAGTGCCGTAAAAAAAGACGGTACCCAGCGGCGCTTCGTCAAAAATCATCTAATTGTAAAACAAAAAAATCAAACAGAAAATAAAAATAGATACTATAATCTAGTCTTTGTCGTAGCCGATTTTAAAAATATTGATTTTTTACAAAATGGCGGGCGCTTGAACTCATTTGGGCACGTTCAGCAGAACAAACCGCTCAGTAGCAATCGAACGTGATTGGCTCTTACTTTTAGAACCAACCAATCAACGCAGATTGTTGATAAGACGAGACTCAACAGTTGTGTCTGCTGAACGCGCCCAACGTAGCGATTTTCAAGATCGCGCGGCGGCCATTTTGATCGAACCTGAGGTTGGTGTTCGCGATAGTCGCAGCAGGTCGCAGAGTCGCAGGAGAGAAGTGACGTAAAAAAAAGGAACTAACCTAACCAATCTAACCTAACCCGCAGCGTTTGTTGTGTGTCGCGATTCGCGATCAGAAGTGTTGGCGTCTTGCATCTGCTTGCATCGCTTAGATATGTGTGACGATGTCGTATCAAGACTCGCCGTTTTCTACAATGTACGATCGTCAGGACGATTATGACCTCGACGAAGATAATGAGGAGTATCTGGAGGAGGACAGGGATGCCGAGGAACAAGATGAAAGCGATGAAGGTGATAATGAAAAGAAATTATATGCGTTTGCACGAGAAGTATTTTTCCCGCATGGTTTTGTGCTCGTAATTTTCAAGTTATAACTTCCCCGTAATATATTAAGTAATATATAATTTAAGTAACGCATCGAGAATTATTTGTAAAAGTTAACCAAGTCAACGGAAACTTTTTAGATACTGAGGAGGCGAGCGAAACCGACATGGGAAAATCCGAAGAATATACAGAAATCAAAGAACAGTAAGCCTACAAAGTTACATATACATGATTTTAGCACTAGAAATTAAATTTCAATGTTTAATCTTTCAGAATGTACCAGGATAAATTAGCCAGTTTGAAAAAACAGCTGCAGCAGTTGAAGGAGGGCACGCATCCTGAATACAATCGTAAGCTAAAACGATTGGAAGCACAATATAAAGAACGGTAATTGCTCGCTTATTATTGATATTATTTGCATAGAATGCATACTAATTGAGATTTTATCTTTGTCAGACTAAGACTGAATATAATTTATCGAGATTACCTGACGGAATGGGTAGAGCGCGATTACATATTGGAGAAAAAAGCAGCAGCGAAAGAGTTTGAAGAGAAAAAGATCGATCTTAAGGAAAATCTACTTACTGATATGGAGGAAAAGCGAAAAATGATCGAATCAGACCGTCATACGATGGAACTTACTGGTGATTCCATGGAGGTGTTTGGATTTATCTTCTTTGCTCAAGTAATACATATATATCTTTTATTAACATTATTCTAATCTTTTAATTAGGTGAAGCCAGTAATGACGAGAAAATTGCGCAGACGTCCTAACGACCCAGTACCTGAAAAAGTAGAAAAAAGGCGAAAACCGCCTCCCGCACAACTGAATTACGTATTGGATGAGAAAGACATTGAACTTGATTTAAAAGCGATCAATCGCGCAAAAGCGCCAGCCACCATTCGCAAACCAGGTGCACATTACTTGGTATCCTAAAATACAAAATACTAGCAGAATATTGGAAAACTAAGTAGTGAAAGTCTATGAGTGCGTTCCGTTTCATTCGTTCTTGTTCACCGAATGTTGAGCAAGGATAAGTGATGCATTATGCGCATCATGCGTGAAACGGAACGCACTCTACGACTCTGTTCCTTGTGCAAGAATTCACAGAATTTCGAGCTAGCCAATTTCATTTATAACTTTCAATATTTAGTTTTTTTTTCCAGAGCTACAGTATTTTGATTCTCGAATTTTGTGACACCTTGTACATAGACGCAAAAGCGCGAACGTATAATCAATGTAAAGATTAAGAATAAGAAATAAATTTTTTTAATTAATGCATAACCGTAACGCTGTATTTACAGTAGTTTTACCACATTACAACGCGGTAAATATTCCATCTCAACATATATCACAGCCGCCTGAGACTCCATTGGTGGAAACTCGGATAGAGGACGGGAAATTATTATATGAGCGAAGATGGTACCTTCGATTTATTTCTACTATTTATATTTAAAACTTGATTCCTCTTAAATATAAAGGGATCCTTTGGTCGAATTTCATTAAAGGTTCCATCGTGGTCAACCTGTCTATGTCGAAGGCAAGGATCTTAATAGGTTCGCGGCGAACATTTCTGCAATCGGCACCGAAGCGGTAAGTATTCGAAGCATTTAAATAAATCGCGCATCTTCGCAAGGTACATATTTTTTCAGATCTGGGTGAAGAAAGTATCGGACAGCAGCAAAGTGCGCATTTACATATCGCAGCTGAGTCGTGGAAAGATCTCCATCAAACGACGGGCCTCCTAATCAACTTCTCTATTATCTTTGGCATCTATTGTCAGACTTGTGGCACGTCACATCTGTCGTTTCTAATTAAAGCGATATTTTCCGGCATTAAGTCGACGATTTTTACGCTACTGGTTTTCTGCCACCAGTAAAACCATGCTTTTTGGTGATATTGCAGCACCATGTAGATCCAAACGAAGAAAGACAGGATTAGTAGCGCCATCATTGACAGTAGGGAATAGGTGGTCCATCGCGCGGGTGGAAAATTGTCGTAATTCTTCATAGCATAAAAATCAGCAGCCACTACACAGATATAGGAACACGCAATGGTCACTGGGGTGACTATAAGACATCTGAGTAGATCGGCCTTCACATTGCGGACATATATCTGATGCTCGTTCTGATTCAGGCACAACCAAATTACGACAGACCAAAAAACCTTGTAACGAGGCGTTCGTTCCATCCGGAACACGTGACCGCACAATTCACAATTATTCCTATTGCTTTCTTCTAACCATCGCTCCAAACATTTCAGATGAATCGCGCCCATCGTTCCCTAATCCAAATTATCATTATTGTAATTATACGATTGAAACGCTCTTCAAATATATGTGATCGAAAAAATGAAGTCGGTTCATAAATTGGAATATTTATAATTCATTAAAGATGAAACAATAAAAGCAATATAAAGAACTGTGTGAATGTTCAATGTTCTGCATCTTTAGAAATTTTTAATTCTTGGTTCTCCAATTTATTGCGTAATTGAATTTTTATTTACACTGTTCTCTCGAACCTTGCACTTGCATGGGTATATAATAGGTAGTTCTTGGTTAGGGTCGTAACAAATACGACAGTTCATGTCCACCGAATCGGATGATAATTCGTTCCTTTTTTCTAATGCAACATCGAACTCCGATTGGTTTATGTGTAACGATGACTTCTGTTCTAGTTCTATTTCTATTTTTGAAATTATGTTATCTAAAATGTCGGCTACTGAATTACTTTTCTCAATCATCACGAGAATGAAATTTCTGCAATAATTTTTATAAACAAATGCCTGTGTGAAACATGAGACAGATGCATCATAATTCACAGATGTATAGTTGGAAAAGGGGATTAAAGTTAGGAGCATCCTTTATTATTGTGTGTATAAAAATTTGTATTATATTATACTGGATACAGTTGAGTTAGTCGCGTGAAATAATCTTAAAGAACCATGTAACTATATGTGCACTTTATAATTAATGAGTAAACTATAAACGAATGTTTGTCACTCCGCCATCATGTCCACACTGAGGCAATCTTCACCCATATTACTGGGCGACGTCTCAAGTTCTCCAATTTCGTTCGATTCACTAAAAAAATTTATCACTTTAATAATTTCACTTTTATTAGAAATCCAAAAAGAGGTAAAAAATAACATTTATCAGCAACAAAGAGAAAAAACTTACCTGTCCAAGGAAGGATCATTACTAAACATTTCTGTTGGAACTGTCGGTGGTGCTTTCTCTGGCACAAGTTCCAGATATGTCTGACGAGATTCCAAGTGTCTTTCTACCTCCTCAGGTGTCATGTGTCCATCAGACATCAAGGACATCGGAACCATATTATTCGAGGATTGTACCTGTAGTAAAAAAAAAAAAATCAATTACAATAGTCTTATAATAAAAATTGACTTTTAAACATATTACATGAAATTTAAATGCACTTACTACAGGTATGTTGTTCGTTTTAGCAACTTTTGGCGTACTCCTTTTCTTCTTGCTAGTGCTGAGTGGTTTTGTGACCATTGACGAATGATGAGAAGTGTGATTGTTGATATTCATCTCAACTTTCTTCCTGAAAGTTGCATATATTGATGTAATAAGAAATTCATAAGAATTGTATTTTATGGGTAATGCTTTTTATATTATATTGCATATTATTACAATGCATTGTCGTAGATAAACTATTTGAACAGTTTCTCATTGGTTTAAAACAAAGTTTCCTTTATTTCACAATCAGATCATTATATAATTTCCTTACCTCTTGGAATTGTCGAGACGAACAATTTCCTCATCTGACGATTCGGTTTCATCGCTTTCGCTGAATGACGCATCTACTTTTTCATACTGCAGCAGGCGATCTAATAGGAAACTCTTGTCCCTGTTCACCTTGAGCAGTTTTCTTTGTGTGGAACGCAAAGCTTCCTGGAAACATTCATTCTCCTGCAACATAATACATATTTCGTCACAAAATAAATAATGTGAAAAAGTGTTTTAGGATATCAAAATATTCCTTGCATACATAAATCAAAAATTTCAGCTTCCTTTTGAGGTTACGATACTGGTCCTTATAGTTAGGCACTTCTTCCTCGGGACTCTCCTCATCGTCTTCTTCTTCTGCATCTGCATTGTTGTTGGCAATGGATCTGCAATACCATCCTTCCAACATTGATCATCTGCAGCTGCAAGAAAACGTCATTTTCAGTTGTCAGCACTCGTGGAAAATTTTGCTTTGACCGGAGCTTCCTCTTCCTCATTACACTCAACATCACAATACACAAAAGTTACATATAAATGAATTATTAATAAATTTGAACGGAAGAGAAATTTATCCAGACAAAAAAAAATTTCTTCTCGTCAAAAACAAGTAAATGAATAGACAATCAATACAAAATTAGGATGTAAGATCGACAAAGAGTCCTCCTTCAGACACGCACTTTGGTTTCGTTCCGGGAGGTTAAGTCGCGCAAGAAACGCGTTAACTTGTGCCTCAGCCGTTTAATTGTGCGAGGAAACGGATGTCAGGCTGCAATAAGCTGTGATATTTACGGCCAATTTTCTTTTGCACTCACTTGAAACCCCAGAACGATTTGTCGCACGTCGCAAGCGCTCGCGGCGGCCGATTATTGCGAAGATAAATAAGCTGTTTATGACTGGCTTCCATTCTGAACTCTTTATCGATTCCGCAGTAACTTCAGCGCCTTGCCGGTCGGAACGGAAGCGCGCGTCGAATCATATCAGTACTGCAAACATCAAGAAACTAAGCGCTGTTCCGTGATGAAATATCCCTAACCATTTGAAAAATATTTTGTGATAGCGGGAACTATGAAGTATAATTTTTTAAACGAAAGAATTAATATTTTCTCATCAACACTTTAATGACCAACGATGTCACATTGGTGTCACTTGTGTGCCGACCGTTAACGATCGCTGATGCAACATATCTCTATTATTTATATCAGAGATATTTATATCAGATATAAACAGGGAAAAAATCCGTTATATTTTTTAAATACTTTGATTATTATAAAATAAACAAATATTTGAGGCTTTCCGCTACTTTAAATAACAACACCAATTGATAAAAATATCTGAAACAGACATATGAAAGGCGAAGGTGTCGAATTTGCTATGTAAATGAAATAAGAAAGGACATATTTTATAAATTATAATTTTGAAAAATCTCTTTATATCAGAAGGTGTTTTGCAAACTACCACTTAAAAAAAAATTATTAAATCCGTACATTTAAATGTTATAATAAGTTTAAATATATGTATAATAAAATTCTATTCCTAAACATATGTATAATATGTAAATTTGAATTTAAATATGTGTTAAAAATAAAAAAGTTTCTTTTATGTGTATATATAATATATCTATTTTTTTGGTTGGTTGAATCTTCCTACTATAAATTTCTTCAATAAAACCAAAATATTAAAAATAATCAAAATTGAAAAGAATTTAAAAGAAGTTTTACAATAAAGTTTTAGAATAATCCCTTTTTAATCTTCTTTAATTTTTTCTGTGTATCACAAAAATATATTTTTCCTTTTATTATAATACTTAATTCTTTCTGTATATATATTATATACAATTTTTCTTTATTGCGAATCGGTATTGCAAAATTACCCATTTAATCCCTTCGGACCGACGGGAAACAATATCGATCCTGTGAGACCAGCACATGCGCCCTAAGGGAGATCTTTCAGTATCCGCATGTGCGAGGGGTGAAAACACATCGAACTCTTGTCCGAGAAATATCACTGAACATGAACAGTCGATTCTCGTATCCGTAATAGCGTATTTTAACACGTAACAGCGTAATTTCTTTGAGAAAAATGAGTCCTGGATTGGGTCACGATCCTTTGCTGTCGTACAACTACACTAATATCGGTAAGTTCCGGAGAAAAAAGAATTTTTGCGTTTTAGACCGGGATTCAATTCTGTCGTATTGATAAAAAAAAATTCTTATTTATTAAAAACATGCGGAATGAGCAGTTTTTCAATTTTTTCGTAAAGATGTAAAGGCGTGATAATTTATAGGGGCTGCCCACCGTATGAATGAACAGACGTTGCACGCGGCAGTAATATTGCCACGTTTATGTGAATAGAAAGTTAATGAAAAGCAATAAATCAATCCATTGATTCTTCTTTCTCCTTTTCAAGGAAACCTCGCACTCTGCGTGTGGCAACAGCCTCAGCATATTTTATTCCAGTTAGCGAATTTTTGCTTCGCACTGTCGTACGCGCCACCGGCTGAGTCGGAAAAGGTCATTTTGTTCATGCATTCAATGCTAATTATAGGTAAGTAATTAGACGATTGTCCACATCATGAAAGCGATGAAAGCAACACACAGTGGTCTAAAAGATATGTCGTTAATTTTTATACGGAACTAACTTTATAAGAAATCTTATGAAAAACTGATATAATTTTATTTCTCTTAACTTGCAATTATAAAATTTTTTCTTGACCCCACTATCTATTTTTAGGTTTTATGTTGCTATCAGGGTGGGCTTGGCACGTGATCTGCGCACCAGATATCTTCTCCTGGAACTTCAGTTTCTTATTGCTCAATATTGGCCAATTAGTGTACATCGTTTATCAAATGAGACCCATCAGATTCGATCCCGAATTGGAAGAAGTTTATCACACGCTGTTTTATCCCTTTCAAGTGAGTTTCTCTCAAGAAAGAAATTTTTTTGCGAAGCATTTTATGATCAATTCTTTTTTTTTTAACTTCTTTAACTCGCTTAGGTCTCACGGATACAATTCAAGCGATTGGTATCCCCAGAATTTGCGACGATAATGTCTCTTCATGCTGGCGAGGCGTACGCGATGCAAAATCTAACGAGAACAGATAGATTAGGTTTGCTGCTATCTGGGAAAGTCAACGTAATAAACGAAATTAAGTTTCTGCATCCGGTACTGCCCTGTGAGTTTCTGGATTCACCAGAATTCGAAAGTTCTCGATCCTCCGTCGATGATAAATTTAAGGTACGACTTTGATTAATCTTCTATTCCAATTATTGGAAATTCTACGTCAAATTGAATATCTCAGGTATCCATCATAGCGGCGAGTACCTGCAGGTATTTGTTTTGGCAGCGGTCAGCCTTGGAATATCTGCTTGTAAAGGAAACTTATCTTGCAACCGTCTTAACTACGCTGGTGGCAAGAGATATCGCAACGAAGCTATACGCGATGAATAGCAAGGTATTCTTTTAAAAGACTTATACAAAAATTGCTTTTATTTTAAAATTGGATTAATAAATTTTATCTTAAAACTATCTCTCGCTTTTCCTCTCTCTTTCTTTTATCGCAAAAAAAATTTTTTTTTCATATAAGTACGTTTTTTTTTAATTGTTACATTAAACATCATTTTAATATGTACATCGTTTTAATAATTTTAATATGTAACAACATTTAAAACAAGTTATATTTCCTTTAATATAAAGTTCCTTTTCTATAATTGTATTTTCTTCGACGATGTTTTCATCTTATCGAAATTTTAGATGGTTACGGATAAAGGATCACACTTGGACATTCGTCTTCCTAGTATCAGCGCCGGTTTGGGGATCAGCACTGGTTTGGGGGGTGAGTATAGAAGTCTTCGAGCTAGACAGTCGCTGACCCGCAGGACAGAAATCAAACCAACGTCTAACAACGGTACTTACTAACTTAAAACCAAATTAAGTTAATCAAAAAATTACTTTTAATGCACTCGGAGGGAATTTTGAAAACGAAGAAATTATTTTCCTACTCCGCGTTGTCTCGATTTATATCAATATTAAACGATTGTCTCATTGAATGATCGTTGATTTTAGTTAGCGGCGCGAGAGCCAAGGAACGCGCGGTGAACAACTTGACGAAGAAGGGTGCGCCGAGCATGGAGCCCCTTCCGGAACTGCCGTCCTGCGACGATCTAGCCTCCAGCGGCGTGGAGAGCTGGCTGGACTCCTCCAGCAAGTATCACAGCTGCGAGATCGTTGACGAGGAATAGCATTACGCCAACTACTCGAATTACGAGAACGTGATGGACGACGCCGACGACGACGTCGATCCTAACCACGATATACAGGCCTTTGACTATAAAAGTGCGGAGTGTTGGCCGTCGTATGATGACTTGCAATAAAAGAAGAACGCACATACCTTTACTTCCGTTGAATGCATTCATACTTCTGGATTTTAATTTGCCAGAACGAAGTTATGTAACGATTTTTAGTGTAAAATTATTACGTAATCAGCCATCCCTTGAATTTCGCTACGGAATAATTAAAACTCAAAGGATTACATTTCTACTGATCGCAATATTGTATACATACTCTGTAGGTTGTTGCCTGGCAACGAAATTCGCAACGAAGGTACCTTACAAAAAATAGATATATAATGTAAATTTAATCGTGATTTAATACTATGTACATATGTGTAAATATCAAATTTAACGACGCTATTAAACATTGTAAAGATTCTGGCTCGCAAAAAAAAACAGTGCTTACGAAAATATTCCAAATAATTTTCGAAAAAAAAACAAACATAAAATAAATCCAATATTTATAAGTAAATACATATAATGCGCCTATATAATGTTTTTGTAAATATCGAAGTTGACGAGCATAGCAAAAAAACTAGAATTTCTTACAAAAAAAATTTTTACTAAAGATATATGAGACAAATACTTACATATTTAACCAAACTTTAAAAAACTTATTTATAACGAAATAAATAAGAATATACGTTATTAAAAATAGAATGCTTTGTTAATTTATTCGTTATATTGATTTTATATTTTACACTTTTATCCTATATAAACTCCTAAATGTCTTTAATAAATTTTTCTAAAAGTGTTTTGAGAAGAAAAAATATTCAAACTTGAGATTTTTAAATTAAATATTATATACTCCAAGATTATTATATGCTTGTATTTTGATTTTTTTTTAATTATAACGTTAAACATCCAATTATTAAATTTACTAAAAGAAATTTTTTTTCTTTTCCTGAATTTCATTCTTTTGTGAATATATTTACTGAAAAAGATTTCGAGAGTACGGAAGAAATCACATTCAAAAGAATGAAGAATAAGGAGTAAGGGGACAAAAAGAAAGAAAGAGAGAGAAAGAGAGAGAGATAAGCACTTCGGTTGATAGAAGAGGAAGACCACTCGAAGGACCCTCGAATGAGACTTATAGCAGGTGCTTCGGCCTCGAAAAGGGGGTTAGCGAGCGGTGGTGCCACCTACGCGGAGGGCGTGGTGCTAGCTCCAAGGGTGGTTTAGTGTCGCGAGAGCCCCCAGAGGCGCGTCATCGTGCGGAGTGTGCAACCCCCGGAGTGTGTGCAGTTTCGCGCCCTCAGGTCGGGGCGGCTAAGAGCGAGAGGGACGCGCGCTCGAGCGCGATCGAGCGAGGGGGTTGAAGGTGGACAGGTGGGCAGATGAAGAGGGGAGGGAGGTGGAAGAAAAGAGGTGAGAAGAGCTCCGAGGGGTGACCAACGAAAGAGCAAGGCTGGCTGGCCCGTGCACCGAGTGCGTGCACACCATCGGCGAGAGAAAAGACTCCGCGCGCGGAGATGAGCGTACAAGTGGCTGTCGTCCTTTGTACTGCGTCCTCCCGCCGCGCCGATGAGGCCGCGTTCCGTTAAGAGGATACCGTGGGAAGAGCAGGAGAACATCATCGCCACCGCCACCGCCACCGCCACCACCGTCGCCGTCGTCACCGTCACCGTCGACAGGACGAAGGACACGCTGTCACCGAGGACCGCTCTCCCTCGCTTCTGGCGGCAGTGACCATGGCGTCCAGCTTGCCGTGTAAACAGTGCTCCAGTGAAGAATACGACCTGTTTCCCAGGCTGGTGATGCTGCCGTATCCCTGCTGACAAGCGAACGGAACATCCGGTACGTTAAGAACAGGGGATGCTGGAAAGAGAGAAAGAAAAGGGGAGGGGCAGGGGGAGAGAAAGACGCTGTCGCGCGTTTTCGAGGAGGCTTTCAGTGAAGCTACCAGAGGAGAGAGAATGATGCTCTCGCTGCTGGACCGTAGTAGGGTGTATTGCTGTGTACAATCGCGTGGGAAATTCACGGAGTCGCAAATAAGAAAGAGAGCTAATGAGCACGATGTATAATTGTTATTGATTAGTAGCGCGATGAAAACATCATGCATCTTGGACGCGTAGTTGTTGTTCTCGCAAGAGACCGTAGCGATATCGTGTTTACTCGTCCAGATTGCTTCAAGCTCGATGTAGCAACAAAAATCGAAAAGCTTAAAAAAAATTTATACAGAGAGAGAAAGAGAGAGAGAGAGAGAGAGAGAGAGAGAGAGAGAATGAGAGAGAGAATGGGAGAAAGAGAGATAATTAAAACGTAATCGCTATTGATTAAATCAAAAGTGATGCACTCGAGATATTGGCTACTGAATATCATGTCAGAGAATACACCTTTTTTTGTTTAATAATTCTAGCAGGCAAGTTTATAGAGATTAATTTTGATAGTTCTGCAACTGATGCAAGAACACCTGACATTACTTGCGGGGGTTACGAGATACCGAAAGGGATAATCTGTATTTAAGGACTTTCGCGTGGACTGCAAAGAGATAATGGTCGTTTGAATTGGTGCCACATTGTGTGTTAGTCAGCAGAATATAATTGGGTTATGAATAAAAGTTGGCGAGCTATCATTGTTCATGACGGATGAGAGTTCGTGCTTCATAATCTTGCGTAAACAAAATGATATGACGCTTCTTTCATCCTCTCGAAGAATATATATTTGAAACTATTCTAAATTAAGAGAAAGTTTAACTGTCGCAAACTTAATCCAAAAATTAATTAATTAATTAACAAATTCAGTTCTTTTTTAATTCCTTAATTGTATTTAATATGTAACAGAAATTTTAATCTTCTTAAAAATTTTGGTTTAAATTAATCGAAAAATAAAACTCTAATATTTTAAACGATTCAGATATTCAAAATTTAAATTACCATAATTAACGAACAGATTTCTGACTATATCTCTCCCCGTTTCTCGCTTTTGTTCTTTTTAATCCGTAATGTCTTTTCTAAGAAATTTAAAAATTGATTTAAGAAAACCAATTTATTTACGTTTGTCAACTAAATTCTAATTAAAATAAGTAGGAAAGAGAGTAACTGGCACTTTATAATCGCTTCGCGCGGTTCAATCATCAAAACTTAAACAAACTTAAATTGCGTGAACTCATTTGCAGTATCAAGATACAAGATTGTGAGGCTCGTTTAGCTCTTAAATAGTTAAAGGAAAAGTTAGGTCATCGCTGATTTGTAAATCGTGTAATGTTTCAGGCGTCAACGACTGTGCGGCGAAGAAACTAGAAACTTTTCGTTAAAACAAATCACGGATGACTCGCGATAATTTATTGTGACTTTATACTTGTGGTGATCTACGTGATCGATCTACGTGATTCTTGTCTTGCGTAGCAAGCTTGCTTAAAAAAAAAATAATAATAATAATCGGTCGCGATGGTGTCGCGCGGAATAATCGTCGTTCGCGTCGCGGATTTCGACGAGGACAAAGAGAGCTCAGCGCCTTCATGTTCGCTGCTGTCGTCGCATACTCACAGCAGACTGAGGTGTATCATCTTGCACTCCAAAAGACATATCGCTTATCCACCATAAGGTAAGGACTTAGAAGATATTAATACCGTAAATTAAAATACAGCATATTAGTAATTGAATTGTTTCTATAAAAATTGCGAAGTTACGCGATAGGCTTAGAACATCTCATATAAGCTGGAAATAATGAAAAGAATGTGCCGTTTTGCAAGAGGGAAAGGTCGCGTTACAGGGAATTAAATACTCTTTTTAACCATTAAGATCTCTATCTTATGTTATAATCTCTCTAATCGGTCGCGTTCGCGCTGTCTCGACTCAAAAGAAATTAATTGTGACATGCGATACTAGAGCATTTACCTGTTGCTTTACGTTCGTGCAAAACAGACGAGACTTGCAAATAACCAGCCGCTAACTTCGCTATTCGTAAGAATTCTGCGTGTAGGAGCGAAATGGAGCTTTGCAGATGTTCGAAACTTGAAACGAATAACTTTAATATAAAAAGGAATGCTTTCAAATCACTGAAAGCTTCACATTGTGAAAATAGCAAATATACATATTATAATTTTATTTATAGTAACATAAACACATATATATAAAATTAAGGAGCTAATTAAATAAACTAAATAATTGTATTTATAATTTAATTTATTTCGCGCAATCACACAGAAAGAAAATGTTTATCATGCTATTTATATGGGTGCATTAATATATTCTGAATAATTATTTAACATTTTGCGGCGAAACTACCTACTGTGTAAATGTGTACAAACGCTTCTGAATATCTCGCAATATGACGCAGCGTTCGTATGTTGATTCATGCAGCTGCACAATAAGTTGCCTGTCAATATTTTCCATCCGGGACAAAAAAAGGACGGTTGTGAATTGAATTTTATATTCGGATATTGCATTTTGACAAAACGTCGCAGACTTCGCAGTCGATTTGCCGACACGTGCGTCGTAGTGTATAGCGGCCTTTAAGAAACAGGGTTGCCCGTAACAGACCGCGTGGTTCCTCCCGTCGCTGTCGATAGGGTCGATAGCCCTCTCCTCTCGTACGGCGCTCGCGCCAACCCCACGCGCCACATTGTAGACAGCTGCTGGCTGTTTACTGGGAGAGTAAACGCTACCCCATCGAAGCGTTTTCTATACCGTAACCTTCGGCCTCCGCAGTTCGGAGAATTAACTCACCTTCTTTTTTATTGATGCGACATTTAAAATTGCCTCGTTATTTTACATTTTCTCTCGCAAGTTTCGTTATATTGTTTTAGAATAGAGATGTTCGTTTTTCTTTCTCTTGGATTTAGGGTAAGACTAGAAACGCCACTCTATATGATAAGCAGCTTCGCGATCCGCACGACCGAATTTTACACTCGACTGACTGCGGCGATTGAGTTATACTACTTGTCTGAGTTAGTGAGCCCTTCGCTACTGGCTCAAGTAGCAAAGGTCTTAGATTAGTGAAACGCGTGATTTTCTCGACGTCGAGTGACGATATTACAGAGTCAACTTGCGTGTTAACTAACGTTAGCTAATTTGACGCAACACGATCGTACGAATACGAGAACGACACTCGTCATTTTATACTAGAGAAAAGAGAGGTATAGTTAAAAATTAATAGTGACGCGAGGTCGATAAAGGGACAATGCGCTGCCACACACGATTGTGACTTATGAAATAATCGCGCACGAGCTCCGGACAGAGGCCGAGAAGTCGCGTAAAACTATTTACATGCTCATGTCCGCTCACGATAAGCTTGACGGGGCAACAAGTGTTCCCGGCGTAAATCCAAGCGCAAGTCCAACATGCTCCAGCAAGAACTTTCACTTCATCACAAATGACATTTTTACAAGAATCGAGATTTATTTATATTGATGGGCATTACTATCTCTTATATAAATCATTTTTCTTTATTGTTAAGTAAAAAATATAGATAAATTCAATTCACAATTAATTATAAATGTCCACTAAACTTTATTGAAATAATAATTGGGTAACAATTTAATTTAAAATAGTTTTGGAAAAGTTTTAATTAGTGACTGATGTTTTATATTAATCTTGGTCAACATAATATAGTCAGACTTTTTAAAATTTACAATCTGTTTATCTGCTAAACGGTTTTTTACGAACTGATAAATGATATTGGATGCGCTGTCAAATCTAGAGATTCACAGATAAAGGAAATACAGTACGATAACAAGTGTACAATGCCGAAAATTCACGGAAAGTTTCAATGATCCTCGAAAATAGGCGAGTCATTTCCATGGAGAGCAAAGAGGAAATAAGGTGGGTAATCTCATCAACATAAATTGGATTGACCGATCAAGCGCCGCACTGTCGGAGCTGTTTCTGTCTCCTGCGGCTGGTCGGCCACCGTTTCGGTGAGAATCGAGGGATCGAAGGGCGAAGGGTCGGCTCCAAACCCTCCGTCGGCTTTAATCTAATTCAAAAGCTGCCCCGACAAACCGCCGCTGTCCATCGTAAAACGAATCGGGAATGACAGAATGTGTCCGCTCGGCGATTCCAGGTCGATTCCAGAATGGTTACGTGACGTCGGAATGGTTACGTGACACTGTTGAATTTTAGTCATCCTCCTCATCTGCATTTTTATACATAGCCGACTTCGCAACGCTTCTGAATTTCTATCAGATAATAGGATAAGCGGATGACGGAATTACCTCTCAATGGGATTTCCTTTCATGCAGATACAGAGAGATATATTCCATTTACGTCTGTATTATGCGCATTGCAATTTAAATATTCATGATTAAACTTCCTCTAATTAAACTTTATTAATTTTCTATAAATATCTTGAAACTAATAGAACTGACGTTTTCCAAGCCGACATCTTCGAGGTCGGAACAAAGTGGCAAACGGAAGTAAAATCGCAAGGAAGCGATTGTCGTCACGCGAGCCATATCTTGCCCGTCGACAAGATTATTTTCATATTTTCAGGAGACCCAATTTACATACGGACTCACGGTATGAGCAATGAAAGAGAGCATATTGGTTTTCTCGTTTTTTTTTCCCCGATATGTTATCGACGTTAATTTGTTGGCTTGAATTGAAGGAAGCTAATTAACCTGATTTGAATAAAAAACCGATCGAGGAGAAGATATAGCAGATAACGTTCAAATAATATTTAATTCAACGTCGCGCACACGTAACGTATTATTGGAAATGAATCCTGAATATATATCAAATCCTGAAATACCATTATTCTGTCTGTTAGCTGTTAATAATTTGTTAGCTTTGAAGTTGATTTCTCTTTTAAACAAAGTTGTTGATTTATTTTATTAAATTTGAAGTGAAAATTTAATATCGAGTTATTCAAATGTAATTTACGCACAACATACTGTATTTATATTATTAAATATTTTTATCAGTTTTAACGTTGTTGTGCTCATCATTGATTATATGCAAGATTCTTTTCCGAAAAAAATTTTTCTGCGAATTCGATCCATATGACTTCAAAATTGGACTTTGCACGGATAAAAATTCGACGCGTCGTAAATGCAAACTGCACACGTTGCAAGAAGGCTTTAGAACCTCACGTAAATCACCACACCCTGTTATGATGTCACGTGATTTACCCTGACCCAGCCGAGCCCATGCAGAACTCGCGAATAAGTCTTCTGGGGCGATAGTGAGCACAGCCAGTCACGAAAGCCCCGCTTTCGTGCTTAATTACCATACGAGCTAAGTCGATACAGAGGCACGATGACCTTGAAACTTTTCGGCCGTTTGTAAGAGGTATCTTTGAGATATATTTGTTCGTTTCATGCGGATTTACCGCTGTATCGTCACTAAATAGATTAATTGGTTAACGAGAAACGAGCATCAAGAATACATCAGAATGCAGTAAAGAAATTTCAAAATCCTTCGAAAAATAGAGATAAATTAAAAAATTCTATTCATAATTTTTCAAACTCAATTATCGTTTTGGAAATGTTTTAGAAGCGCTTTGTATCCTCCTTTTTATCCAATTCACGAATATCCGAAGTAAGTAGCTTAAAATAAATATATTCGCGCTCTTACATACAATTATAATTACAGTATTGAAATTCTAAAAGGGAAAGGATTTTACGGCTGTTATAGAATGTCCCACAAAATGTCTGGAGAATGTATTAAGATAATACGAATACTCCCACAGGGCATAACAAGAGAGCTGATGAAATCTACAGTTAAAATCTCGCTCGCAAAGCCGATTATCTAGTTACTTCGCGTTTCCTTTCGCGAGGGACGGCTCACGTCACAGCGAGATTAAGCGAAAGAATATCAAGATAAAATCAAACTTGTATTGTGGCGCGGCCTAAGCCGCAAATTAGGATTTGCATAAAGCCACGAGCTGCCCTTGCAGCAGGCAGTCGTTAACTCTTCAGAGATCGCACGGAACGCGAAATCAAGTTAATACGTTCAGGAAATCTCTCAGGCAAAACTAGACCATATCAAAGATGAATCAAGCGTAAACAATGTCCGATTTTGATGCTCTTAATATAATTAGCTTTCTCTCTACACAATTCACGGAGTGATACCGACCTGTATAACCATTGTTTTAAATATAAATTCTATATCGACTGTTTTATTTGGGGAATCTCGGTCGTTGGTTTGTAACACTTCTGTATAAAAATAATGAGAGCGGTATATCTCACAAAGAGTGAGATTGTACGAACGAAACTCGGAGTTTAAAAATGTTACTTATATTTCCAATGAAACTCACGAGTTTAAAAATGTTACTTATATATTTTCAAGTCCATATTCGATATTGCGAAGAATAGACCGAACCTAGTTATCGTTGGAATATTTAATAAAATTTAGTGGCCTCTTTCGAATATAGATTTTAGGTATACACGTACCGTCCTTTCGCAGAGCCAAATGCAAAAGTATTAAATTTTTACATCTGACGTAGAAGAAGGATACAATCAAAAAACTCTGGCAATAATTAGTGTCGTGAATATCACGCGCTCCCTTGATCCTAAATTCCAGTTTACATCCATTGTACGATAGTTGAATCAGGCCGGAAAGAGTGCTCTAACGAATTTCCGGGTAGGCTGACGTAGTTCCGTTAGATGGAAGCGTGACACCAGCTCACCCCGGACGGAAATATCGAAAATTGAATGATGATATTGAATCATTCCGAGAACGGATCCACGATTACTGGCGCGTGCTGTGTTAAATGGCATTTTCTGGCCGTTTCAGGCTGGTTGCGCAGCTCGTATCGACAGTATGCTTCGTAATATAAGATAATCGAAATTCTTTTCCAAGTGATTTTATTTTCTTTATTGGTTCTTATAAGATTGCGCGAGCCAGTGACTTTCATATTGAATCGTAATTGATTCTGAACTAACAATTGAACTAATATATACAGCATACTTTCCCTCGTAAAAGAAGAATATGCAAAATTATTTTACGCGATTTAAAGCAGATGGTTATCGTGACGTAGATGAATATCGGTATTTTCGTATCGTCAAATATATATTAAATTTCTAATTCTGAATAAGAATCGCATGCATTCATTCTATTCAATGTAAAAAAAAACCTATTAGAATGCAAATCGCTAGCTTTAGCTTATGTTAGTAAGAAATCACAGTGGAATTGTTGGATCGAAGTAGAAGCAAGAAAATGGGTTTTATATGACATGAATTTCATATGAAACCTGATATGTTCCTTAAGGATATAAATTACACAGATGTATCTTCGGAGACAGTCTAGAAAAGCCAAGAGGAACGTGCCAAGAGGTTTTGTCCGGTTATGCGGTCTGCAGGACGCCTCTGCAATTTCGAGGGCATTCTCGTACAGCACAGCTTGAAAGCAGATAAAATCGACTTTCCTGATGGCGATGACGTGGCCGATCCTTAACTGCATGCTATTTCGAGATTTTCGCCGTTTCGGCTGGAAAATATCCCCCGCGAAGTCTTTGGGTCGGCGCGGCGCGAAACGAAACGCTAAAGTCACGCAGGCCCTCGCGCGGCGCGACCTCGAAGATAATAAAGCTCAGATATTGCATCCCGAATCACGAAGAGTCAAATCGATATTCCACGTTAATCGCCCCAGTCGCTTTTAGCTTCTGTTGTAAATCTGACAGGCAAGTGGTTAACTATAATTTAGATAAATTAAGGGCAGGAATATATATGCAACGTCCCCGATATGGAAGGTCGGTTCTAGCGTGTTGAATATACGCTGGTGAATATCGAAAAACTGTTCGTAGAAAGGGAATTTTTGCGGCTTAAAATGCGACACCTCAATTAGCTGCTAAAGTCCAATCTCCAGCAATGGAGATTTTAAACACTTTGCCTTTGCAGAATCGGCAGAAATTAATTTCACGCTTTTTATGGCATTAAATATTTAATCTGCGAAATCTGTAGTGATTGGCTTTCTTATATTTTTGAATCGCACTTTCTACTTTATTTTGTAATATTGATTTAAGGATGTCTTATAAGGAAAATATCATTTATTTATGAGTTACTATAAAAGCATTTTGAGAAATACATAATTTAAAGAGCATGTGTCTAATACATTGGCAAATGTAATTCTTATGAATTTTTTAAAGATATATCTATAAATATATTTAGACTGATATTTAGAAGGGAGCAACGTTCGGCTTGCAGGGGTCAAAGGTGATGGCACGTGTCACGCGCCCTCGACAAAAAATGGCGAACACGACTGATTCACCCGCGACGGCCGGCGGCAGCCTCCTTTCGTCCTCGACGACGCCGTTTCCCACCTCGTCGACATCGACGGCGAGTTACTCGAACGAGAGCTACACCTTTAATTATAGCGGTCTGCCGAATCTCGGCGGCTACTCGCTGGACGATTTCAACTACACGGAACTGTGGTTGGACGTCTGGAACGGCACTGAGGTCAGCAACGTCACCGAAAGACTGAACGCGACGGTGTTGTCACCGGGTGGCTATTGCAATGAATGGGAGGCTAATCAGAGCAAGCTTTTCCAGGTGAAGATATGCTTTGAAGACGTTAGAATTTCTTAAAATTTATGCGATCTTTTCTTCGCGTCTTAATATGAGTGATAATCGATGCCTTCAATATATTTCTTCCTCAAAAATCTCTCGAAAGTTTTACTTACATTTGAATAGATTTGTATTTGAAGTTTTGGGGTCAAAAAGAAAATGCTTTTTAATCATTTGAATTTTCTTAGATTATATTAAGTACTGATCATATTAATTTCAGGCAGCAAATCTATTTTTTGCGGCTGCGTTTCTGGTGCCGCGTTCGTTAAAGGCTTCCATCTTCGCTCTTCGCTCGCTTCTCACGTTGGGTTTCATGCTGGCGGCTCTCTGGGCCGGGAGCACCATATGCGCTCTGGACGCCATGTTATGGTGCTTGGCCCTCGGTTTGGTAAACGGCATTCACTCGTTGATACTCGCCTGTCAATTTCTGCCCCCGGCTCTCAACCCCGAGCTAGCCGAACTCTATTTGAAGGTCTTCGCGCCCTACAAGGTCAACAAGCAGCATTTCCAAGAGCTGGCGAAGGAGGCGAGGATACTCAAGTTGGATTCCGATCAGACGTACGCGACGGAAGGGGTCACGCCGGCGGATACGAAGCTGTCTGTTCTTTTGCGTGGGAAGTGGGTAGTCCTTCTTTTTAATTAAAGGTTAATTATCGGAGGCGTTATCTTCTTGTGAAAAAAGACTGATCCTATAGTTGAAATTAAAGGCTAATTGAAACTGAATTAATACAGACGACTTTTTTTTTATCCTATCTCTGCGACTTTCATGGACTCGACATTAATATCGAGAAATATATAATTAAAAATTATTTTCATATTCTTCACTCTCAATCTCTTTTCATATACTGCAGTAATTCATTATCGGAGAGAGGAGATTTTATTAATTTTCCTTTGTCAGACATAGGGGATGTTGCGTGCAGCTTTGATGTTGAAGTTCTTCTCTCGATTCCAGATTAAGGGTAACTTGCGACGGGACACACTTGCACTACATCAGAGCCTACCAATTCGTCGATTCGCTCGAATGGGAGGCCACGCATGAACACGATGCCGACGTCTTCCAGGTGACGATACGAGCCGAGGAGCCCAGTACGTATATTTGTTGGACGAGAATGAAGTTACTCAGGGTGCTTCGGCACAGGCCGGTGCTCAAGGTCGTTCTCTACACCCTCATCGGTAAGGACATTACGTCCAAGTTGTACGCCCTTAACGAGCACGTCGCTGGTGTCGCGACCGCCAGTGAGAACGCCACATCGAATCCTTACAGGGGGATCGCGAGAAGCGTCAGCGTCGACGCCGTTAATACGGAAACCGCTGGAAGGGTTCGATCGACAACGTGGAAGGCGCATAAGCAATACAGCAATTCGCGTAGTGACAGTAAGTGTCGCAGCCTTTTCCATTTTTTCCTTGATAAATCAAATGGTTTCTTTATTTTTTACATAGTCTTTATATTATCCTGGACCTTTGGATCTTGATAATTAATATCTTACGTCGCAAAGATGCAAAGAACGTTTGCCGTAACATTTCACTTCGTACGGTTTAATTCGTCGCCTTCGCCAAGACCTTCAATAATTCGGTTTACGTAATCGGGGGGGGGAGGGGGGGAGTCACACACGAGCGACATTCGAGTTGGGCATTAAAAAGGCTACCCTTTAAAGGCTAACCGTGCCAAGGTAATTGGGATTTTATCTGTCCCCAGAGAATTCCCCGGCCCGGCATTCGCACCAGTACTGGACGCCGGTAGTGGCGAACCACTTTCCGCCGACCTCGCCGTTCATTCAAAGCCAAAACCTCGGCTACTCGTTACTGCCGCAGGGTGTCCAGTTTTCGCCGCCTCCGCGAGCACCCGTGCCGACTCACGCTCCCGTGGTGCGACAACGAAGCGGGGGTGCTGGCGGCGATTACACCCTGCTACCTCAAACACCGAAGCTCGAGAGGAAACGATCGAAAAAAGGAACTCGAGAAGTGGGTTGATTTCATTCATTGACTTCGTTATGTTGACTTCATTACAGAGATACGATAGAGGATATCGAGTGCCAGCCCGTGGCGCAAGAAAAGCAGCGGCTATTTTTAGATCAAATAAAGCAAGGCACACGCGAATTCTAAAAGCTAACAAAAAAGCGTGTATAGCGATATTTCTTTTCCCTTATTTCTTCTGAAGACTCCATCGAACGCAATTTTGTTTACGTTCTCTAAAAATATCGATAAATTATGGTAAATTAAAATAAAATTTCCACGTACAATTTTCTTATTTAAATACTTTACTATGTTACGTACGCAGTGACCTATCATGTTACTCGGGAAGGAGCGTATTCCTTATCGTCATCATTAGCGCTTCCTCTCTCCGAACAATCAAAACTGTACCACACTGTACTACACTTGTGTTACTATTAGCAAGTTGAAGTTCTTCTGATTGTCGGACGAAGTACATTCGACAATCTATATACAGATACAAGATTCAAGATATTTGCAGATTCTCCCTCAGCAAACGTACTTAAATTGTCTAGTACACTTTAATACATCATATTAGAGAGACGTAATTACAGTTTCTAACACTAGCGCTGTAATTACGTTATCTTGTGTGTTTAACTATAGACATTCCTCCACATTTGCGGTTACCGAGGCTTTCGCTGATCTAGAGATAGCAGGCCGTGATCCACTTGAGTAACTTTAACAGCTTGATAAACGGCCGATGTCTAGCACACCCGCACGTGTACCAAGATACGGCTTAATATTGCTTAATGATAAAATAACATACTTTCTGATATTCTTAAATAAAAATTTCTGTCTTCGCGTTTGCTGATCTGTCAACGTGATACTACCTCTGTCATCATTTCGGAAAAAATTCCACCTATTAATCGGATCCTTCCTTAAATCGATTTTTTTAAATCTCTTATTAATTCTAACTTTATCACAAATTATAAAATAAATGTTTCAGGTGACCTTCGAGACACCGGTATGACGCTCGCCCGACGGGGAAGGGCCTGCCAGCGTGCCTCTACTTTCACTGTCGCCGCAACGCTCCGCCTAGCCCCGTCGTGGTCTCGTTGTCATCCTGCGGCACGCCGCAAAACTCACCCTTTGAACTTCCGGTCGGCGCGATACCGATGAATGGCCTACTTCCTCGGCGGGAAGAGAGAACGCCACGGTACATGTGGTATCGCGCGGATTACGCTTCGGTATGAGAATTTAATAGTACCGCGGAATCGCAAGGACGCGGATGGACGAAGTCGCTGGGCGCAGTTTTGACGTGACCGATTGATTTTCATATCCTGCAAGTGCCACGCTTTAGACACGCACGCACGTGTGAAATCGAAACCGCGATGGCGGCCGTAAAAGAAAAAAAAAGTATATATATATTCCGATGTCCTTCGACCGCATTTGGGGCATCCGTCAGAGTTTCGAGGTGGACCGAAATTCGACCGAGTGCTGGAGAGGGACGTGAATCGTTCACGAATTGACATGAGAAGTAAGAACAAGCGATAAAGAAGAGAGAGAGCGAGAGAGAGAGAGAAGTCGTAAACGAAAGATTAAATATAGATATATTGTATTAATGAGCATCGCCTCTGTGTACACTTTTACATCGACTGTGATTACAACGGATATAATTATTAAGTCTTTCAGAGAAACGCTGATTATATACACATACAGAAAAACATGTGCGTAAATAGCTGCCGCGATAATCACCCACGCATATCTCGTGTTTGCGCGAGTTAGAGTGTCCTTCGCGCATAACGATTTTCGGTTTCGATATCTTTTGCATTTCAAAAATTCCTAATTCTACAGATTTTCCTGCTGCATTCTTATCTGCAATTCGGAGCAACTGCCTTTTTATTCGTTTATACGCAAATATTGATGTCGCAAATCGCTTAATCTATGGATCGTTACGCAATTGCATAAAAAATAACATTTGGAAAATATATAAAAATAACATTTAATTACTACTATGTATCATTAGTGAAGGACATCCGAACAGCGTAAACAGATCGGGATCGTTGTATAAAATTAGTGCATGAAATGCGCATTCATGATAAATGTGATATGTCGAAAAAACACGCAGCAATTTTTATCCAACACCGGCGTACGAAAAATTGCATTTGCACATTCCTTAATCAAATGTAAAATGCATTAAATAAATAAACATAAAAAAAATTAAAAGCGAAATGAAAAGCAAGCCGAATAACTCGGGTGTAATAAAACAAATAAGTGCTTTGTTAAAAAAAGAAAACCTGCAATAAAGTGCTTCGATAAACGTAGTTGATGGCGAGATACAAATTATAAAAAGCAAAGTTTAATTATTCGCGCAGATTAAACGGAAAAAAAGCTAATTATGTGTCGTGTGACACGTAGAAGAAAAAAAAACATGTGTGTTTGTATGTTTCTATGTTTATATAATCACCGCGTGTGAGAGTGAAGCCGTAGAAGATCAATAAAGACGCACAAACGATTAAACAAAAAAAAAGAAAAATGTGAAAGGGATAAAATAAATTAAAACGGCTGTGTAGAGTCGAGTGTAAATGTTAAACACAAAAGTGGCTGTAGAGTATTGTAATGTTGCGAGGGATTGTATGAAGTTCTAAGAGGCGCACGTCGGAAAGGATCGTCGTTGCTTAAAATTATTTTCGTCGAATCGAACGCAAGACTGTTTATTAGACTGATATTCTATCGTTATTTAGTTACTTTTCGTAAAAACTGGTTTTATTGTGTATACATATATATATATACATAGAAGATATAGAAACTTTTATTTGTAGCAATCAAAATTTGAAAAAGACTGAGTTGCTGCTATAATTTGGTTAGCTTTGAACCAAATATTTGCAGTAATGTTTAAATTTGATTAATAAATTTGTTAAATTGCTTTTAGAGAAGTAATTTAAATTTAAAAAATTCTCGTTTGCTAGACTGATCTATTTTCCGACGTAGACAGGAGCCTAAAGTACGAAAGAATCCGTTTGAGTGATCTTTGTCGACGTCGTGTCAAGGGAATAAATGAAATTGCAAAAAGATGGACTGCAGCAGCGACACATCAACATCACGACGACATTGTATGTTATTATTATTTACGATTATACAATATGTTCGTTGACTATTACGTTAGAAATAAAAACTACATTAAAAAACGTGTAGTGTAATTAAGCACAAGGCCAAATCTAACTATCCTGCTTCTAATCTTTTTTTAATTTTCTTCACTACTGTTGCCATTATTACAAAATAACAAAATAATTTTAGAATTCAAATAAAAATCATATAATCACAAAAATTAACGTCTTAATAGATACAGGAAAATCATCAAAATATGAAACAGATAGTATTTCAATGAATATAACAATTTTCAAAATATTTCCAATGTAGTTTATATTTATATTGACGTATATTTATAAATTAACACAGTCTTAAACGCAAAAGATTAACATATATAAAATATGTCGAACATAAAAACAAATATAAAACATAAATATCGAAACTGAAACTCAATTTTACGAATTTTTTATATCGTTAGAGTTCTAGGATTTATTAACCAAACTGTCGAATTATTATATATCTTATAATGCAAAAATCGACACATGGTCGTTGACTTTATTTATTTGAATATCTTAGTTATTCAGCTGGTATACTTTCAATTCATCGGCGTCGTCAATATAATCATTATTTCGCGTAGGATCATCTATAACATGCTCTCGCTGATAGGAACGATATTCCTTTTTTTCGTTATTATGTGGAAGCTGTATGACTATTACGTAAGGTTTATCGTGGTCAGACGTATCCACCGAATCCTCATGACGCGATGCATATCTGCGTGTATAATAAATGAATAAAATATGTATATATATTAAATATGCATACGAACTACGTAGTATAAAGAATTGAAATGGAACAACGAAAAGCCAAATTTTCAAGATATTTAACAAACATAAAATTTTTCACGAATTCCAGATTTACCTGTGGTAGTCTGGTTCTGGTTCGTAACGATGATGTTTTTGCGATGGCATTCTCTTGGAATGATAATGATGTTTTCGGTGTTTTGGAAGAGGATGCCATCGTAGCCGTCGCCATGGATGGGGATTGTAATATTTATACGACTTAATTTTGTAGGTTTCATTAAACTCCACTAAATCCAGCATTAAGCCAACAAGCACAATAATCATAGATAACTAAAAATTATCAACACATCACGATTAAATTAACATCGATTTTTATAATGGGAAATGCTTATTATTTTAGTATTAATTAATTAACTCACCTGCATTTTTCTGTATCGTAGAATATATATATTTTTAAATTACTATAACTATATTTCCAATGCATCCAATTTACTTTAATTAAATTACTGATTAGATACATATGTAGTTAGAACAGCATTTTCTAGATGCACTTTTCTCATTTTAATGGTTATATTTTTTCCATATACTAGTCGGAAAATATTTATCAGTTATCACTATTTGTTAATTTATCACTTTATCTAAAATATTTACTTGCGGACTCTTCAATCATTTCAATAACTTTGCAATCAACACTTCCTTACCACACATTTAAAAAGTATAAAATTGTTAGATATATTAGGATTCTTTGATTCTAGATTGTCATATCACTCTAAAGCAGGACACATTATATCGCTAATTGTAAATTTTCTGTTAAAGATAAGTGCTCGCGTAGCCGGAGATGAAACCTTCATGGACCGAAATGAAACTATAAACTTGAAGTCTTCGAGCAGGAAAGTTTCTTTTATAATCTTCCCTTCTCTTGAGCCACCTAAAGCAACATGTGTATAATGGCTCATAAACGTCATCGCAACGGTATGACTGAAATTATTACAATTTGTTCTTCAATAAAGCGAAGTTTCTCCAAGGTAAATATACATTCAAAATGGGCTTATTAATTTTACAAGTAAACAGACAAACGAAATAAGAAATTATTTGACAAAAAGATTGTATACATCTAACAGCACAATAGAAAGATTGTTGATATTGTCGATACACAATAATTCAAGAAATAAATTATTGTATTCAAGTAAAGAATATCACATGCAAATTTTACGTGATTCACATTGAGCAAAATAGATACTTTCTCTGTGACCTAAATTTGTGAAATATTAACGTATTTCTTATAGCCTTTGTAGACACGCACGTTCACCAAATAATCGAATTGTACAAGAATACTAGATAACAGTAGGTAGTTTTTTTCGAAAATAATTGCAAATGCGATATTCTGGATATATGCTAAAGTTGACGTACAACAAAAAATTATCTTTATAAAAAGATTTCGAAAATTTGTTCTCTTATCAATATAAATTAATGTTAAAATTATAATTATGTTAAAATTATATGATTTATTTATATAGATGTTGATTTTATTAAAATAAACACGGCATTGAATCTTAAAATAGCGACTGCGTAGAAGAGATGTTTGTGCTAAAAAATTGCTATAGATAGCTGATGAGCCGTAGATCCAGTGAAAAGTGAGCGGAGGCGTACATAAAGGTACTTTCGAGATACTTTCAACGCGTGCGTGCGCGCGTTTACTTTCTTTAGGCTGCGGAAGTGCTCATTGCTTTGAATGATGTTGCCGTTATGTTGTCTATTTCATCAATCTAGTCATAGTCGAGATCCTACTCGAGAGCTCTTAATAACTTTCGCTTTCTAATTGTTGTAGAAGAAGACGCTTCGATCGTCATACATATACATATAATTATTTTGACGTAAATTAAAAAAGACATTTTAATATATTTTCTAGATTTTTATTCAATCCCTGAAAGATTTTGGGATGTAACTATAACATTACGAAATGCATTGTTACAATTACATTTATAATTGTATTAACACAAGTTCGCGCGCGCGGACAGTAGAAGTACAACGAATACATTTTATTGCGTACGATTGTTTTCCACTATTTTACACTGAATAATAATTACGGTTGCCATTACAGCTTATAATAAATTATAACAAGATTGCCTATTGAAGTAACAGTTATCCATAATTAATCAATTAAATGAAGTACATCATTTTAAGAAGACATATGTTTTCGTATAAAAAGCGCATTGTGTATAAACGTATAAATAAGTGTACAATAGAGTAAAAGTTAAAGCTAGCAATGCCTTTTCAGTACACGTAGTTTATCTTCTATTGTATATTTTCCCTATAACTTCACGATTAGGTATAAAGTACCTTGCTCTTCGAAGAATATATGAACATTAATTATTAAACATGTATTCACATACATGTATTATACTTTAATCTTCTTAGCACTTATGGTAGTGTAAATGTTACTGTATTTCAAAACTCCCAGCTTAAATAATCAAAAAAGATTTTTAAAAAGTGTAAAAATGCATAAAAAGTCGTTCACACAGTAATTTCAGTAATTGTATATAGTAAATATAAATCACCGGTTTGTAAAGTTTTACAAATTAGAAGCTTAAGAGAAACAATTAAAAAATGCGATATATAAAAAAAAATATGACAATAATAGGAAGATCTCAGGAATGAGAAACGATTAGAAAAGATGACTTATAATTTTAATCTATTTATAGTCATCTAATGACACAATCGCTACGATGATTAGCAGTCGATCACTACCAATAATATTACCGTACGTTTCATTTTATGACAGCACTTGAATACTTTCTATAAGCGATAACTGCGTCGTCACGTTGTATACGCCGATCGAACCTTTTAGAAAACTAAATTAGATCGATCTATAAACAATTACGCGGTAACTAAAAAAATCTAGCGTTATCACATGCACATTGTCTATTCGTCGTGTCTACTTCTAGAAAGTATCTTGGTTATAATAAAATACCTCAGTACCTTTCTTCATTACAGTCCAAGCTAATTATCAATTGGACACTATAAATTAACTAAATCATAACTCGATTATGTTCTATATTCAAGCTGATTGAACAGCGGTTAGACAATGTTCCGATCTAGCGAATTATACAGTACGTGTTTCTAATATCGCTCTAGGATTAATTGCACCATGATTGTACACTACACGTTTGTCTCTTGGGGCTCGGTGCAATCAGTGGGCTTGATCTCCAGCCACCAGTCGTTGGGATAATGATATTTCTGTAATTCTATGCCTTCTCGTGGCACCGGCATCAGTCGGCCGCCGAATTGTTTCGCCGGCAGGGGAGGTATCACTAATTGTGGCGGAAAGCACTGTAGACTCGGCGAGAATTCGCAATCCGGAGGCAGGACCCTTCTGGTCCAGCCGACCCTCCTCACCATCTGCGTCTGCAAGTGTCAACACGATTGAACCTTTCCGAGGTCTTATAATCGACATCTCTATACGTTTCTTTCTTCCTTTTCGAACTATCTTTAAAGCTTTCCGTCTCAAACTAGAAATTTTTAGAGACGATATGACTCTCAGCGAGATCAGACACGTACGCTTTATAAATCCAAGTAATCTAAAATGAATTTGGTACGTGACGTATGTACAATTAATGGCTTTCCCGACAAATCCGGCAATTCAGATCGTAATGCATACAAATGAGGGGGCAATAAAACGTTCGCATCGCCGGTTTATAGACAAACCGGCGCGGGCGCTGCCAAAGGAGTCGTTTCCGCTTGTCCTACATACGGGATGCGCTGTAAAGCGCATACAAACATTCGTACATTCGAGTTTCCTTCAATGCTCCATAAAAGGCAACGGAACACAAAGCGTTGAATTTGCATTAGCGTGCTAGATACATAAAACGCAACCTTACTGAATACAGATATTGCTCTTGACGTAAAAACAAGGATGAGTTTATAACTGGGTAATTACAGTAGTAGGGACAATAAAACTGACATAAATGCGAAGCGTTTAAAACAAATATTGGCAAAACAAGTGGTGTCTCTCCGATTTTACGTTTTACATGAGAATTCTTCAAGAATTCTTATGTAAGCATTCTTTAAGAATTGTCATTTATTTCAACTTAACACACGCAATATTTAAAAACTCTCGTTGATATAAATTTTAAAATACACAAAATACACAAGATTTCTTTTGCGAAACTTCTTACCACTGCGTCTTCCTCGAAAACAACCACCTCCACCTTGGGTGCGTCCTCGCCGACCTCGTGCTCCTGTATCCTGTAAATCCCCGCCGCGTGAAGGTAGGTTGCACTCAAACCGACTTCCCGGAAGGTTTTCGTGATTAAGACATCGTCGCGGAGCGTGTCGACCAAACATAGCTCCACTTTACGAGCCCACGGAAGTGCACGGCCTATTCGAACTTGACCCCAAAGGCCGCCCAGGCAGAGAAAATGAACGATGCCCAATTTAGTGAGGACCAAGTGAGCCCTGGTGAAATTATGGGAATTATGTATACATATATTTTGACAATAAATATTTTAATTTTACATTAATAATTATGCTTTACTCATTAAAAATTAAAAAAAAGATACCTCCTAACGTAAGTTTAACTTAAAACTAATTGAGAGAGCTACTTTTTATTAATTATGTGTATTTCATTGACTTAATAATTTAGGGCTCATAATTGAGAGGTAGAATATGAACTGTTGGACATCTAATATCTTTTGAATTTAATTTTTCTCAGATTTTATTTCAGCATCACGAATCCTGACCTGTAAGCGAGATCGTGTAATTTCTCGGTAAATTCTTCAGGCACGCTACACGGCTGCTGTGGAATCTCTTGCCGACTGAGGCTATACCAGAACAGTACGACCATCAGGAAGAATGCCGCCAGAGCTCGCATAGGAGTGATGCGAAAGCGTCTCCGTGAGCAGAAATTCATCCTGATATCCTGGAAATCAGGGAATGGTTTGATCAAAAACCTTACTAGACGTCACACGGGTCAATCTTTATATAATTATTGTGTATTCCTTCGTTTCAAACTTCGAGATATTTTACTTATCGAAGAAAACAACAAGAAACTTTTAACCATTAATTCTTTTAGATAGACCTGCGAGCCTTTAAAATCTACTCCCTTTTCCCTTCATTCTAAAAACCTTCTTTAAATCTTTGAGTTTCTAAAAGAGATCATTGTGTTCCAAATTCTCTGATTTGTACATTTTCAAATCCTTGCTTAAAATATAATATTTTAAAATTAATCAATATTTATTACTTTTATCTTTTCAATTTTTAATTTTTTTTTTCGATCGTTTAGAATTTTCAGTTTCTGTTTCAAAAGCTTTCAGATATTTGACCGTTTAAATCCTCCAGTTTCGCTTTAATATGTGTTTTATTCTGAAATTTTTCCATAATAATAAAGTCCACTAAAAATTAAGTTCACATACAATTCACCGTTTAACTACAGTTATTTAAATATCCATCAATCAATTTCTCTGCCGTATTCGATGTGAATTCTAAAGAAATTCTCAGGAAAAAAAAACTCACGTCCCCTGAGGAGCATGCATGACATTAACAACACTCGTCTCTCGGACGACACTCGTCTCATGTAACCCTGAACACAATAAGGAACGAACTGTAAAAACCAAGGACACTTGGCGTTACGTACTCGCGATGTACGACGTAGTCATGACCCACGTGTGATCAGACTTTCTTGAATTTTTCCTTTGCTTTTTTCTCACCCCCCGCGACGAAAACCACTTTCTCATAAAGACTTCGGCACTCAACCCTTGAGCCCTTGACGCGTTTGACGTGGCAACGTTGCATAATATTGATTTTTCTGCTCTACCGACAGTTTCCTCGGGGGGATGGCCTTGTTAAAATATTAAATATAAGATCAGAAGTATTATTAAGATGTAGGTTATTTTAAAACATTTTATTTCTATAATTGTGTAAATTAAATCTATTTTTAATTTATATATTCTTAATCCTTAAGATTGAAAAGCAACTATTTATAAGAATCGGGCAGTATTGATTTTTTTGCAATCTTATCAATAGTTTCCTCAAGAACGTTTTTTTCAAGATAAGATTACTGATGATTCCGTAGACTTGCAAATGACGAAGAATAGAAAAATTTCAGTTTTATTTGAGATCTATTATAAGTTTGTATAACTGATAAAAATTGATTATTAATTTTAGACAAGAAACATTTAATATTTGTTGGTATTTCAAAAAATATACAATTTAATAATATTATTTACAGATCTCTATTTTATTGACAGATTTCTCATAGATGATGATAATCGCTCATAATCTCCATGTTATTAAAGTCTTTTTATTTTTTATAATTTAATAGATATTAATTTTTTATTATAATAAAAAACTTATAAGAATTCACTATTTCTACATGAAAGAGAATAAATAATTTTACCTTGTGGTGTAATTCTGTCATATCGATTTGTGGTAAGTAATCTTAATTCTAGATGTAATCGATTGTCAGTAGTAATCGAATTTTTAGATACTGGAAGAGAATTAAAAAAAATAGAGGAACTTTTCTAAAAGAATATATTTAATACAAAAATAAAATTAAAAATGGCACATACTTTTTTATGTATTTTTAAATATTTTATTTGATTATAAATTGTGATAATGACAATCTTCTTGACTCTTTTGTTCGAAAAATGCTACATGTATGAATAAATTTAATTATGCGATAAAGTCATCATTGGTACTTTTGTATTTTAAAAAATTTTTGAATCCTTAATTTTTAATTTTTTTATTAATCTTTTGATCAATCTTTTGATTAAAAGTAGACGATATTATTCATATCAATTTTACAATAAAGTTTCTTTTATTAAAATAAAGATAAGAAAGTAGAAACTACTAACAAATAAATATAATAAAACAAATAAATGTAATAAATGAACAAACAACAATACTAAACTAACAAAATAATTACAAGCAGCATGAGTATCAATCTATTATCAACATCACTATGAGAAATTTTACAAAAGTTCCGCTACTTTCTTCATTTGTTATATATTCTGTTAATTTTTAATAAAACCTCTGCATACAATTTTTATTAAATTTTGCAATATCGTCGTTTCTCGTTGTAATAATATTATAAAGAAAAATTTTTACAAAGGATAGAATTACGTGAACTTAAACAGATCTTAAGTTATTTCTTCCGACAAGCTAATTCATAATTAACAATATTATCGTAATTACGTGAAAGATTATCCTGGAGTATGAGAAGTATCCTGCTTGAGCTCAATTCGGGGCCAAGGAGGGCCGCGTAGATTATGAAAAAGGGCGGGAGACAAACGAGCGACGGAAGCGAGACGTGAAATTAACGAGCAAAAATAAACGTTTTCCTCGATAATCTCGGTCGCTCGCAGAATTCTCGGCCGTCGTATACGCGCTTCTCCGTTTCTCGCTCTATTTACTTTTTCTCAGAGCTGAATGAGTTATCGCGTTGGAACCCCCTCGGGTTATCCTAATGAGCAGAAACGCCAATAAGCCAGTGCCGTCTCGGCGGGGATGGTGTGTTCTTACGTCTTATTTTTAAACAGGGTGCCTGTTGACGAATTTGCGGACGCGCCGTCCGTCCGCGCCGTAAATGAAACATCGGGAATACCTTCGTCAGCCCTTCTAAGGATGTTTAAATGTAATAGAGTGTCGACATTCTTATTTGCTCGATGTCCAACAATTAGATGCTTTCTTTAATGATATCAATAATTGTTGAAACGGGTTTTAACAATGACGCAATATATAATATATATAAAACAATTGCTATTTCATTTAGAAGATAAAATCTATTACAGAAAATTATATAAAAGAATAAAAAAGATGCAGACATTCTCAAAGTATGCCCTAATTTTGTGTGCTAGTGAGAAATGTGTTTTATTTAAAAATAGGAAATTTAGAAAAGTGTAATCGTGGTATAACATATATACTTATGATACCATATTATGATGCTTCATATTTACGGACTTCTTTAATTTGTAGATAACTTTTTTCGAATATTTGAGAATATTATCGCGATATCGCGAGTAATCGCGTCGAGGCGGGCATTAATCTTTCGCCAGCGCGGGGTCGACAGGTCGCGAGCCCTCTCCGGAATAAAGGAGCTCGGGCGAGGCACCAGAAAGAGAGAAGGAAGACGAGGACGATGAAGAAGAGGAGGACGCAGCAAGAAAAATTGCGCTCGATGTCGTGGAAACGGGCGAAGCCGTAAAACAAACGGTCGGACGTCGCGCCTCTTTCTCCGCGTCTAATTCTGTCTTGTCGCCCCTACGCCGGTCCTTCGCCCGTTGTATTTTCGTAGCGCGTGTCACCTAAGTGCCTTATCTACGCGCTCTTCGGACGTTGGATCCTCGAGCCACGTGCTTCGCACCTGAACTTTCATATTTATTTGCCGTTCTTAACATATGTTCCAAGACAATCTAAGTTAATAAGGAAGGCTTTTTCGGACATTGGATCTTGAAGCCTGTTCTCGAGCCACGTGCTTCGCACCTGATCTTTCATATTTATTTGCCGTTCTAACGGGGGACATGTGTTCTAAGATAATAATAAAGGTATATTAGATATAAAGATAATCTTCAAACTAACCAAAAATTTATTGAATGAAAATTTTTTAAGTATAAAGTAAAATTAGATAAAAATGATAGCTTGTACAACTTATGTAGGTAATTAACATTTTTCTCGGTTAGACACATATCTACAACGCAATGTATTTAATTAAATAAAATTTAATGGCAACGATTTATTTAATGGAATCTTATTATGCAAATTTTTTTATTTACTACTTATTTAGAAGTGTTTTCATATTAATTCTAATCATCGATCATTTCGTGTATTGACAAGAAGCCGATCTGATGAGAAGATAGCACAGTTCATCTATTTCGGATTTCCAATTATTGCAGAGTACATTACAAAGAATTTTATATTTCTTATATTTTAAACATCGTGAATTATAGACATCCTAGATCCATGGATCTGAAATGACTTTTGATCGTGCTCGGAGCCGAAAAGTCGACGCGATGATCCCAGCATTCCACGAGGCTCACTCGCTATCGCGAAAACACCGTCCGCCTTTGAGGCCCTTCTCGCCGACGATCGCCATTGAGGGTTTTTACCCTCGTGGAATCCACCAAATGCTTTTACGTACGCGCTGGTCACATTGAAATGCAACTCGCGTTCTTCGATCTGGTCCATCAGCCCTTCGTCTCCTATCCTTCCTCCCCGCCTCCTCATCGGTAGATTGCTCTTCGATAAACCACTAATCTGCTCTCGATCGTCCTTCATCTCCACCTTTTCTAGTTGCAATTAATCTTTGCTAATTTTTCTCGTTTTGTTAACGAACGTAAGCGGAAACATTTGCCGCGTATACCAACATGATAACAGTTGCTTTCCATTTACACTCAAGTGATCTGATATTACGTTTACGCGAGCGTTACTTCTGTAGTAACTTACGATAATTCCTTCGCGTAAACGGGATTTTGTAGTAACTTACTATAATTTACTCCGCGTAAACGAGTGATATATCGTAAGTTACTACAGAAGTAACGCTCGTGTAAACGTAGTATAAGTCACTCAGTTATGTGAGTATTTTATACTCAGGTAAGATACATCATTTTGTATTTATACCTGCTTATTTTGGTGACAAAGCTATCACATAATAACACAGGTCCATAGGCTCACTTTTAATGTGAGTTTATTAGATTCATTAAAGCACATGGTCTCCCGAATGTGGATAAAAACTCAGTTGAATCTCACTTGCCAGCATGCAAAAAGAACGTGCATTTAACTAAGTTATGACGTCACAAGTGAGAATTATCTGAGTTTTGACGTAAATGAAAAGCAACTAATAATCATTCTATGTTGAAATCGGAAGAAAAACGGGCGGCATACTAAATGAAGAATATCAAAATAAAAAGTTAGAATAAGATCACAGAATCTACGAATCTAAACAATGTTGGCCTCAGAGCATTCAGATTCCTCTCGAGTTAGAATTCAATATAATAATATGGATTTGTGAATTAAATGATGCGCAGGGAATACGTGGACATAAAAATATTCAGTCGTATCTACTCGTTAGCATGAACGGTCGGAAACAGTGTTGTGAAAATATCGCGCGTGTTCCTCGGGCGGGAGGAGAGGAGGAGCGATAACGACCGACAGCGTGAGCCACGCCGGAGCCACTGTTGACAACGTAAAGGCGAACCATGTGGTCAATGCGCGTTAAACGTCTGCCGCGTAAACGTTTAACGTTCCACCGGAATATATGGACATTCCGCGGTTATTTCGAATACGTTCCGCCGGCCGTTTTTACGTCGGCGTAAATCACGCCCGCGTTCGACTTCGCGCGCTCTCGCAAGCGCGCGAACGCTCTTTCTCTTCTCTTGAGATCGATCTTGGGCTACAGTCCCAAGAATATCTTAGAATAACCAGTCACTTTTGGTTATTTCACTTATTAGAAAAAAGTTAGCTAACCGATAGCTATACGACAATTTAAAGACTCTTAACCCTCAGTTCCCTCACCTGGGTCTGAGAGACCCTGCACGTTGTTAAAACGTGCAGGATCTTTAAAACGTTCATAAAACCCTTGTATCTTTTTTTAGTCAGTACTATGTCAACTCGAAAAAAAGCAATCTTTTTCGCTTTTTCAGAAAAACACGTTTTCCTTTTTTTTAAATAACATTTACATTTTTTAACTTGGAATAATCTAACTTGTACAGTCTTGTAGATCTTTAAAAGACGCATCGATTAAAAAAAAAGACTTCAAAT